GTCATAGTGAGTCATGTGTCATAGTGAGTCATGAGTCATAGTGAGTCATGTGTCATAGTGAGTCATGTGTCATAGTGAGTCATGAGTCATAGTGAGTCATGTGTCATAGTGAGTCATGAGTCATAGTGAGTCATGTGTCATAGTGAGTCATGTGTCATAGTGAATCATGTGTCATAGTGAGTCATGCAGTGCACACATAATGTAAAAATATTCAAATTATTACTGTTTAGATTGTATAATTTTTACTCTGTGTATGCATGAGTGTGTGTGCTCTGTAATATACATGGGGCTGTGTTAATGGTTATCAATAACATGTAATTATTAACTAATTAAATAACATCTAATTATTGATTATCATGGATTTTAATTAGCAAATATAGTGATTGTTCTTCAAATAAATATCAATTGCTTGTCAAATCGATATTTTATTATAGTTATAACAATTATAATAATAGTTGATATATTATAATGAATATAAATATCAAAATATCAAATAATACATAATATTTGAAAATAATCAAGGTTATCCTTCACCTGCAAAAGGATTAACGTTTGCAGCACCAGAGCACCAAGCGGCACCAGGGGATGCTCCAAATATTCCAGCAGGGCCTGGAGCAGTTGCTCCAAAGCCTCCATATGCAGCTGCTCCAAATGGAGCAGTGGCTACAGGGAAGCTCCCATTTGCATGTCCACCAAGAAAATTTTTGCTAGAATTATCCTGGTTTCCGAAAATATTTTCATTGTTGCCAAAATTTCCAGCCTGGTTCTGATGTCCGAAAACATTACCGCTGCCGCTATTGTTGTTCCCGCTGCCATTTCTGTGCCCAAATAATTGGGCACCGTCTTGGGTACCACTAAACCCGCCAGTTGGCGTGGTGCCAAATATGGAACCATTGTTGTTGCCGGTATTGTTGCCATACATGGTAGATGACGTAGGGGTACCGAACAAGGCGCCTGAGAAGTAGTTGTTGCCGGACGTGTTGGGTGATGTGCCAGATATTGACAGACCTTTGTGATTAATATCAATATTAATATTGTTTGTGATTAGATTCAATACTGTTTATGATTGAAATTATTATTGTTTATGATTAGATTCAATAGTTTATGATTAGATTAAATATTATTATGATTAAATTCACTGTTGTTCATGATTAGATTCAATGTTGTTTATGATTAGATTCAATATTCTTTATAGTTAAAATCAAGATAACAAATCTTGATACCTATAATCCTGTCTCTTATACACATCTAGATGTGTATAAGAGACAGCAAATAAGGTGGCAAATGAAAAAAAAAGTGAAAAAATGAGGAAAAGAAATTAGAGAAAAATAAAAAATTAAGGAAAAAAATTAGGGAAAAATTAAAAGTTAATTAAAAAATGTAAGGAGAAAATAGAAAAGTTAAGGCCCGAAAATGAGGTTAAGTGCAATAAAAAAAATAATAAACAGGAAGAGAAGGAGGGCAGTAAAGACATGTGGATGTGTTGGGGCGGAGGAGGGAAGTAAAATTTGTTAGTAAACAAACAACTCTTAAGCCACGCATGTACTAACTGCAACTGTACAATATATATGCAGTGAATGCATTCATTGCATACAAGATGCATGTAATACCTGATAAATTTAATGTAATACCTGATATCACTCATATTTTATATCTAATGTATGTTATCACCATAGTAAACAATGGTGAAGCAAAATGGTCATTACATTTGTATTAAGTAAAATTTGTTAGTAAACAAACAACACTTAAGCCACTCATGTACTAACTGCACATGTACCATGTACATGCACTGAATGCATTAACTGCAGTGAATGCATTAAATGCAGTGAATGCATTCAATGCATTAAATGCATTTAATGCATTAACTGCAATGAATGCATTGAATGCAATGAATGCATTAATGCAGTGAATGCATTAAATGCAGTGAATGCATTAACTGCATTTAATGCATGCATTTTGGGCAATGAATTCATTCATTGCACACAAGGGGCATTGCAGGTAGACTTAATACACAAGGTATCATATTTTATTAAGTATTGGTATTTGGTATTATTGTAATAATACCTAATACAATTAATACCTGATATTAATATTATTGATGTAATGTTATTGAATGTATGATAAGATACATGATATTATTGATGTAATACCTGAAATCTCTCTCTTTTTTACCAATGTTATCATATCAACACATTATTCTACAATCTGCTTAGTAAACAATTGTGAAGCAAAATGTTTAAAACATCAATTTTAAACATTAATGTTAAACATAATGTCATAAATGTCATCACAAAATGATGACATAATTTTACCAAAAAAATTGAGAATGGTGAAGCAAAATGGTCATTACATTTGTATTACACATAGGCATTTTATTAAATAGTGACATTTTAAGATAAATGTTGAAGTACAATATTGTCAACATAGCTTACTAGCCGTAGAATTTAACATGTAGGATGTACTAATATTTAAATGTAATTACGCAGAATTTACTGATGTGTACAGGATTCATAGAAATATCACACAAGTGCAGTGTGAAAGTTTTAATTGTATGTAATAAAGATCATAGATGTTGAGTCTAACTACACAAAAAATGCTCTCAATTTCAAACATTAAAATATTGCAGCATTACTTGACATAATAATTGTCAAGCATATCTATGCTCAGTTTCTATAACTACAAAAAACCATGACAAAAATCTTAAATCTATTTAAATGCTACTACAATCTATAGCAAACTCAAGACCTCAGCATAAACTATAATTAAACTAAATCTATTCAAACAAAGAAATTGTCAACCATAGGCTAACTCTATTGAGATTAAATCCATCTACACTAAATTTGAATACATTGAATACACTAAAATAAACTAAATAGTACACTAAATTTAATCTATTGAATACATGAATAAGAGTTCACACAATTGCATTCATCTTGTATTTTCGTATTATTTTTCATCTTGTATTATAAATTTAAAATAATACAAAAATTTGCTACCATACCGGAAGATAATGAGATAATAATGAGATAATAATGAGATAAAGATAATGTTCTAGAAACACAAAAACAGGAAGAGCAATTGTGTCGATATTGAAAACAATAAAGAATATTGATAGATTCATTATTAATTGATAAGTCACTATTCTAATATTATTAAGTCACTAGACATCACTTTAAAGGCCTCTAGAAAATATTTGATCAAATGTTCAGACATTATGTAATAAAATGTTCAGAACTTTTATTAAACTATATTCAAATTTTTTATATGAATTATAGCAAAAATGAAGCTTCATTCTCTCTTATATTAGGAATATAACAATAAACTAAATGCTAAAAGATCTCTCATGAAATCTCTCAGCACTAATCAGACAAACATTCAAGCATGATAGCCTTAAGTTTTAGATTAGATTTTTCTATCTTCAAGCTTATTAAAGATTATAATGAGCTCTTAATAAACTCTTACTAAGCAATTAATAATTTCTAATTAAGACATACAAGATGAAATTAATAATTTGTAATTGCAAATTAAGATGTACAAGACAAAATTAATAATTTTAAAATGCAAATTAAGATGTTTAAGATGCTATTACTAATTTTTAATCGCAAATTAGACATACAAGATGCAATTAATAATTTTTAATTGCAAATTAAGATGTACAAGATGGGATTGTATCAGTTTAATGCAATGCATTTGAGATATTTGATTTAGAAATGGATAATATGTATACGTTATTCCAAGCATCTCGGTTACAAATGTAAAGAAATTCATGTTTTTTGGAGAAAAATTGTAAAAAGATTGTAAGGATTAAAACATTTTTTTGAATAAATTTTTTTGTTATTTTAAATTTTCCCAAGAAGTAGAAGTGAAGATATATTGATTTTAATGATTGCCTCTCAGAATATCAAACCCTTACAAAAATTGTACCAAGACAATTGATCAGAATTATAGACAAATTAGTTAATGATGATTAGAATAATGAACCAGTTGATTATTGCAGTTCAATGGTTATACAAGGAACATTTTCATCATTTTATAACAGTAAATGTTATACAAAATTAGCACCATATTCCATTGAAGTTGAATTATAATAATTGATGAATAGAAGCTAGTTTTAACTGCAGCTTGTTATCAGTTCCCTAACAAAATTTAGAGTCGCCCCAGCTTCTAGTAATCCGAATCAGAAGCTGACGTGTCTGTAAATTTTTACCGGGTTATTCTACAATAATGATCTTTATTCATGAATAAAATAAGATGACATCATTGATTTCACCAGCATTTCAAAGGCAGTGACTGCAACCATCTCATTTCTTATTGAAAAATTCAATGACTGTTTTAAAATGTTGCTGACCTTTACAGCTGTTCCTAATCATGTGTCATGTTGCTTGTATTTGCTTTTACATCTTTTACTACTCCAATAACTCATTGTACTTCCAATGATATTGTGTCATGAAAACAACCTGTAGGCAGCATAAATATGCATATCTAAACTTGAAGTATGCTGAAGTCTTTCTGTATACTATTTGACCAAGGCAACAATTTTTGAATTTGTTTGTTATTTGAATTGTTTTTTGAATTTTTTTAAATTAGTACATTTTATTAATTGTTTTTTTTTAAACAATTTTTAAATTTGTATGTTTTTCAATTGTTTTTTGAAACAATTTTTTCATTTATTTGTTTTTCCAATTATTTTTGAAAGCAATTTTAGTTTTTTCTAATCATCTTTTGAAAGCCCCATGGGCAGAGAAGAAGAACGTAACAAGGGTCCGATTTTTGGTTTGAAGTCATCCGACACGGGGCTAACATCCCTCTGAGCTACGGCTTGATAAGCTCTCTCTGGCGGAGGTTGTCCTGACATATCATACAGCTTGTCAAAGCTGCTCGTGTTTTTGATCTTACGAAGGAAATTAGATTTCAAAATGTTGCTGAGTGACGGAACGTTGTCGAAGAATCCAACGGGTCCCAAGTTGGCAAGCTCAAGAGGTGGAACTGAATGCTGTCTAGTCATTGAGCCTGGGAGGGATTCAGCAGAATGGAACTGGGTTCCATCTTGGGGTGTTTTCAGTGAAATGTTTACGTTCTTGGATGAAGTTGCTGAACCAATATGTGATGGAGTGGAGGAATACATTGACGTCTCATTGTTTTTGATCATCTGAGCAGCAGAAGGTTTCTGAAGTCCTGATTTAGCTCGAGGTGTTATTTCATAGTTGCTGCTGGAACGCAAGTATGGACGGGCAGACACTTTCAGGGAGCCTCCATGGTCAACCTTATGCATTTCATGAAGCGTTTTCAGACTCCCACAGGTTTGTTGGTCTCGGAAATGGTCTAAAGGCACCCTGCGGGGAGACCCGACAAGATTCTTATTTATAACATGACCAACACCCTGAGATTTTGGTTGATTATCCCTAGTGAGGTTGTCCAGTGAAATGTTCAGACGTTCAGCATTAGCAATGGTACGGTTAGATGGACTACCAATGGGAATTAGAGGCATGCCTGGTAACAGTTCATCCTCAACTTCATCTTCAGAAGAATTTCCTTCATCTTCTTCAAAATTCTGCCCTACATCTCCGGAACCAAATGCATCATCGTCCTGTACACTCACAACGGGTGAGGAAGGAGAATTTCTACCGAATTCTTCATCGTCAAAAGAGAAAACGTCTGAGGAGGAAGGACGTTTCCAAGCGTGGGACCCAAAGTTGGGCTCAGAAACCTGTTTTCCAGGCAAAATTCCAGTTTTGAAGTTAGACGGTAGCTCATTCCTCCTTGCAAGCGAATAGAATTCATCAAAACTATCTGTTTGAAATTCATTGCCCTGGAAAGCTTTGTTGAAAGCACCTTGGACTACAGCTCCTGCAGCATTAGAGCTATCAGCCTCCACATTATCTAGGGACCAGACATTTAAATCTTGGTTTTTAGTGGGTGTAA